GCGGGGGGAGGCCGGAGCTTGCCGCAGGTCGGGAGCCCCAGGGGCCACCTCTGTTGGGCTGGTGGCTCCCAGCTCGGCTGCAGCCTTGGCACTCCATAAGCAGACGTGTCCCTGCGTTGGCTCTTCTTTCACCTGAGGAAACTGAGTCACAGGAGGCATTTGGGGAGAGCAGGGTGATTTACTGAGTGTCCTTATCCCAAACTCCGCAGCGTGGATGAAGGGCAGACGCCAGCCGGATGGGCAGCCCCACTCAGGAGCTCCCGTCCCGTCTCCATGGGGCAGCTTGTGGCTGCCAGCTCTCAAAAAGTTTGTGGCGCCCCGCTCTCCCCCAGCCAGCACTGCTGGAGCCTGGTGTCCTGCTCCCAGCTGGCCCTTTCCCAGCTCCCTTCCTGCCCTCCCCAGGCATCCGAGGGGCTCAGCTTTAGCACCTCCAGCTTTCTTCCCCGAGCAGTTGCTTTTTCACCCGCTCCCGCCGGCAGCTCTACCTAAGCAAGCACCTCTGCCCTTCCCGGGCTTAAAAACAGCTCGTGACACACCGCCTGCGCCCCGGCCGCGATCTCGCTGCCCCACTGCTCATTCATTCCTTCCTCCACTGCCTTCATTCACACCTCCGCTCCGCATAGCCATCTGGGGTCAGCTGTCTGTCTGCAGGCGGATCCGTCCGGCGATCTGCTTGTGTTTTCTTCCCCACCTCTCCTACTGTCCCTTTGCCTGCTGCTATTTCCACAGGGAGCCTCCCAGCTCTGCCCCACCACTGTGTCAAGTTTTACTCAGGGCTCAGCCCGAGGACGGTGCGTTATGAAGCGGCTGTTGTCAAGAGCTCCTGCCCGGGGCTGCGAGGGGACAGAGGTGTTATTTCACCAAACAAACTCCCCACAAATGCTGCGCGTTAGCAGTGAGAGGTCGCAGCCAGGAAAATGTTACCTTTCCCTTTGAGTGCTGACTGCGGAGGAAATTCTCACGTTTACAGCTCTGGCGCTCATGGAAAGAGGGGGCGGCTTTGATTTCTCTCCTCTTCTCTGTTTGATAACTAGGCAGCCCCCCACCGTGCATTGCGTCCCACCACCACCCTGGGCAACTGGCCACCGGTGGAGGCTCCGCAGGCTCGCGGCTCCCTCCTCGGGAGCCTGTTTTAATTAATTGGATTTTCCCGGAGGCCTGGCATGTGGCAGTGCGTGCTACCCCGGCTGTGCGTGTAGGTTAATAAAAAATAAACAAACAGCACTTTTTTTTTTCTCCGTCTCCGGTGCACTCTGGGAGGGATGCGGCGGCAATGCCGAATGAAAGCGCGTGCTGTGGGCTGCGCCAGGGAGGGCCGGGGGGACATTCCGGGCATTGCCGGGCTCCATGTGCGCCGCGCGTGCTGAGTAAGGAGCCATTAGCATCAGGGACCCGGGGGGGCCCACTCGTGCGCAGTGTTTACTCGCAGAGCTTAAATTAAGACTGTCTGCTGACATCAGGGTTTTCTTGTTTTTTTTTCTTCCCATTTCCCAAGGAAACGAGCCGTGTGAGATCGCAGCCTCTGCGAACGTGCGACCCTCTCTTCCCCAAGAGCACTTGAACCCGTGTCTGAGTTTGGTCAGATATCACAGACATCTTAAATGCTTCAGAATGATTATTTTACCTAATTTTACCTTGCCCAGAGAAGTTGTGGCTGCCCCATCCCTGGAAGTGTTCAAGGCCAGGTTGGATGGGGCTTTGAGCAATGTGATCTAGTGGAAGGTGTCTCTGCCCATGGCAGGAGGGTTGAAACTAGATGATCTTTAAGGTCTCTTCCAACCCAAACTGTTCTATGATTCTATTTTTTATCTATATTAAAAAAAGGGCAGTTGATAAGCAGGAGAAACTGACGATCCCTCCCGTCGAAAGCAAAGCTTGCCTGTGTCTGCACAACCATAGTGTTAGACACTAGAGAATCCCCATGGAAGAGATGTATTAGTAGCTTCCAAATCATGAAATGAACGTAACTGAGACATGGAGCTGCGGGAAAGCTGGCTCCATCCATTCTGTCGTGCGCAGGGTGAAGCATTTCCTCCCATCTCTGGTTTGCACCGTGTTGTTTCCTGTCGTTTGTGATGGTTCTGGAGGGATGAGCCCGCGGAGGATCTGCTGGCTGATATTTCCGATATTTCTCCATTCACCCTCTTTTGGCAGCTGTTTTAGAAACTGTTGATGCTGGAGGATGAATTCTGGATGACAATGGGTCTTCTGCTAAGTGGACCTGTGATGTCTATTTTTATGGACAGAAGCTGGTTACTAGAGAAGGCAAAGAGGAGGTTGTTGAGACTGTGTAGAAATCTCTGCTCACTCTCTTTTGTAGGTTTTCTCCAAAATTTTCAGCCATGAGGCACTGGAGAGCTATCTCCCCAAGATCCAGCTGGTGATCAAAGACACCCTTCGGGCCTGGAGCAGCAACCCTGAGTCCATCAACGTCTACCATGAGACCCAGAAGCTCACCTTCCGCATGGCCATCCGTGTCCTGCTGGGCTTCCGCATCCCTGATGAGGAGCTCAATTGCCTCTTCGAGGTCTACCAGCAGTTCGTGGAGAATGTCTTCTCCTTGCCTGTGGATCTGCCCTTCAGCGGCTACAGGAGGGTAAGAGATTTGGGATGATAATACAAATTATTGGGGTTAATGAACTAATATCTACAGGTTCTTGGTGAGAGTCTTCTCACCCTCTGACCTCTAGAAGCTTGTTTTTGGGCTACAAAGTCCTATTTTGGTAGAGTGGAGAGGGAGATCTGTTCATAGGTTGTCGTAGTGCTAGGGACGGTGCGGTTCAAGGCGAGAGAGAACGTAGTCAGGATTTGCCCAGATTTAATGGGTAATTTTTCCTCACTTGTAACAGGCAGTTTTCCTGTATTTTTTTGTTTGTGGGACCCTTCTCTTGCTAATTCCCTCCTGTTCCCAAAGCAAAACAGGTCAGTGGACCCTCTAATTCTGTGAACTGTTCTCACTTTTCAGTGAACGATGCAAAACGAAAATGTAATAAAACACATAGGCAAAAATTTATTGTTTTTTTTCATGGGGAATTCTGGTAAGAGAAATTCAGGGGTTTAAAACCCATTTTTGTGATTCCCACCGCAAATTTTGTCATTGTTGTTCCACCATGTGGATGAGCCCAACCCTTGGCAGCCCCAGAGCATTTGCAGCAGCAGGTTGGCCCAGTGCAGCTGCGCTTGGGTAGGAATTGCTTTACTGAGACCAGGTGATAAGATTACTCGGGAAGCCCATTACGAGGATCCTTTTGGATGAATTGACTTTCCTTTGAGGGACAATTTTCCCAGGGAGTGCCATAGATCCCGGGGTGAGCCAGGGGCCTGTGAACTGATGCCATACTGGGGCTCCCACATCAGACCTATCATTTGCATGTAGGTGCTGATTACTCCTGCCTGTAATCTCACTCGCTTGGGGCTCGCTTCTCCTGCCAAGGGAACAAGCTTTAGCATCTTTATTCGTCTGCAATTGCAGTTGTATTCCTTACACGTGTTGTCCCGAGCATGTCTCCAGCTCCTGGGGATGCTGAGCTGGGGATGGTGGTGCTGGCGTTTGTGTCCTGCGTGGTCTGATGGCTTCCCCGCTCCACAGGGCATCCGGGCGCGCGAAACGCTGCAGAAGGGGCTGGAGAAAGCCATTCAGGAGAAACTGCAGAACACGCAGGGCAAGGACTACGCTGATGCACTGGACATCCTGATAGAGAGTGGCAAAGAGCATGGCAAGGAGCTCACCATGCAGGAACTGAAGGTAAAGATCTTCCCCATGGTCACCTTAGAATCATAGAAACATAGAATCACAGGTTTGGGTTGGAAAGGACATTAAAGATCATCTAGTTCCAGCCCCCTACCATGGGCAGAGACACCTTCCACTAGATCAGGTTGCTCGAAGCCCCATCCAACCTGGCCTTGAACACCTCCAGGGATGGGGCAGCCACAACTTCTCTGGGCAACCTGTGCCAGTGCCTCACCACCCTCAGAGGGAAGAATTTCTTCCTCAGATCTCATCTAACTTTACCCTCTTTCAGTTTAGAGCCATTGCCCCATGTCCAATCACTACATGCCCTTGTCCAAAGCCCCTCTCCAGCTTTCTTGTAGCCCCTTTAGGTACTGGAAGGCTGCTGGAAGGTCTCCCCAGAGCTTCTCTTCTCCAGGCTGAACAACTCCAACTCTCTCAGCCGGTCTTCATAGCAGAGGTGCTCCAGCCCTCGGATCGCTGTGCTGTGCTTAGGACAAGGGCTTACCGAAGAGCAAAGCATGAGCTGGTGTAGGGAGGATTTTTTCAGGGTCAGACCTGAGATGGTCAGTGAGAGCTGGAGGACCACAGCTGTTGGTAGAGTTGTTGGAGCGGCAGGTGAATCCTGGTCTGGTGGATTTTGGTGCCAAGAAGCCAGCTGCTTTCCTATGGGCCATGTTTATTTGCAGATCACACTCAGCTCTTTCTAAAAAGCATTTCCAAGGAATATCAAAAGAGCGTACACATTTGCTGAAGCTTTCAGCCTTGACCAGCTTCAGACCTTGACCCATCCAGTTTTATCACCCTCCTTTGCAGGGTGAATGAGCCCTCGGCAGGTAGTTATCTGCAGCAGAGTCGTGGCATAACTTGTCCTTCATGTGATATTAAGAGCCATCCCCAGGGTTTTTTCTCCTGCCTCTCTGGCACTCAGCATCTTCCAAGGGTCTGCGAGAAGCTCCCCATGGTGGGTGTTTAAGACCTGCACAAGGAGAGATCTTGCAGTTAGACATGACCAGGCTACAGAACTGTTGGGTGTGGGGAAACCTCTGCAGCATCACCTGAGAGGGGTAAGGAAGACATCTCTGGGGTGGGAGAGATTCTGCCCTCATTCCCCCAGCCACATCCCAGCAGCTGGAGAACTTGCCCATGCAGAGGGCAAGGAGAGGAGAAATGTCCCTTCGCCCCATGATACCGCGTGCCTCGCTATGGAGGGGAAAGAAATGCCCTGCAGCAGGCTGCTACAGCCATGTGCCTGTCCCTTGACGTGCCACGGCTGCCAACCTGTCTGTCTGTCTGTCCATCCATCCCCTGTGTCTTACCCTGGCTTTGCTCTTGTCTTTCAGGACGGCACTCTGGAGCTCATCTTCGCCGCCTACGCCACCACCGCCAGCGCTAGCACCTCTCTGATCATGCAGCTCCTCAAACACCCCCGGGTCCTGGAGAAGCTACGGGAGGAATTGCGTAGCAAGGGCATCCTGCACAACGGCTGCATCTGCGAGGGCTCTCTCCGGCTCGACAACATCAGCAGCCTCCACTACCTGGACTGTGTCATCAAGGAGGTGCTTCGTCTCTTCACCCCCATCTCCGGCGGGTACCGGACAGTGCTGCAAACCTTCGAGCTGGATGTGAGTATTGGCCTCTCTCTCGGGGCTGCGGCTGCACTGTGAGCTCCACAAAATAGCCTTCTGCACCTTCTTGCAAAGATTGATTGAGTCTGGCTTAGATAGGACCTCGGGGGGGACAAATTAGGTCCTCCTGGTGATGGGAGGTGGAATGGCTCTGAATTCAGAGGATGGTGATGGGATCTGCCCCTCTACTCTGCTCTTGTGAGACCCCCGCCTTGCAGTGCTGCATTCAGCTCTGGGGTCCCCAACATCTGAAGGACATGGAGCTGTTGGAGCGGCTCCAGAGGAGGCCACGAAGATGATGCAAGGGCTGGAACACCTCTGCTATGGAGACAGGCTGAGAGAGTTGAGGCTGTTCAGCCTAGAGAAGAGAAGGCTCTGGGGAGACCTTCCAGCAGCCTTCCAGTACTTAAAGGGGCTACAAGAAAGCTGGAGAGGGACTTTTGACAAGGGCGTGTAGTGACAGGACAAGGGGCAATGGCTTTAAACTGAAAGAGGGGAGATTTCGATTAGATCTAAGAAAGACATTTATGCCCATGGCAAGGGGGCTGAAACTGCATGATCTTGAAGGTCCCTTCCAACCCAAACTGTCCTATGATTCGATGATCCGGCCCATGGCAGGGAAGGGAGGTGCTCGAGCTTGGGCTGTCAAAGAGGAGACAGGGGTAGTGCTTCAAAGAGCAACTCATGACAACTTTTGACGCCAACAACTAAACTGGGGCATGTCAAGGGGAAGGTTTACTGCAAAGGGCATCTCCGGGCTGCCCGGTGACGGGCGGATCACTCCCCGCAATGGCTGGGATTTCCTACTAGTGAAACAAAATCCTGAGACCTGGCTTGTCGCTGTAAATCCTACCAATGCAACAACTTGAGTTGGAAACTTTTAAAATAACAAGGGATGATAAATCCGCCTCATTTCTCATCGCCCAGGCCCTGAAATATGCGTTTGGTCGTGTGGGGCTGACAGGCGGTCGGATGTGAGCAAATCCATGGGATGCCCTGGGGAGGGCTGGCCAGCGTGTGGGGCATGGCACAGGCACGAGGAGAGCAGCTTCCCTTTGCCTGGCGGCAGTCGAGCACCGCGGGGTTCCTGGGAGGCAATTCCTGCCAGTGACTGCAAAGCAAATAAATAGCAACGGCTCATCCGGTGGGTCCCCGGGATAGAGGCAGGAATAAGCGGAGGATTCCCATCTCCCAGCTCTTCATGCTGCACTCTCTGGTTTTCTTTTCAATCTGCTTCACGCACGAGTAATAAACCCAAGGAAACTGGGAGGAAGCAGATGAAGCAAAATGACTTCACCTTGTTCTCCTGCTCCCTCTCGCTTTACAGTAGGATTGACTCGCTCTGGTTTTCTCTCCACCTCTTCCCTCTTCCCCACAGGGTTTCCAAATCCCCAAAGGCTGGAGCGTCATGTACAGCATCCGGGACACCCACGACACTGCCCCTGTCTTCAAGGACGTGGATGTCTTCGACCCTGACCGCTTTGGGCAGGGTCGAAGCGAAGACAAAGATGGCAGGTTCCACTACCTGCCCTTCGGAGGAGGCGTACGGACCTGTCTGGGCAAACACCTGGCCAAGCTCTTGCCGGCCCTCCGGCTCGCCCTCCCCCAGCCGCTTTGAGCTCGCCACCAGGACTTTCCCCAAAATCACCCTGGTGCCTGTGGTCCACCCGGTCGATGGACTCAAGGTCAAATTTTTTGGACTGGATTCCAACCAGAATGAGATCCTGACGGGGACAGATGCCATGCTGGGGGCAACGGTGTAAAGCCTATGCCGGCGGCTGGTGGCGTGAGGGATGGGCGGCCGGGGGACGAAGGGGTGGGGTGGG